CTTGTGAGATTACCAACGAGATCAAGCGGTTGAATGCGATTGATTGAGTGTGTGCTATCGAGAAGAAGAGAGAAAAAGAGGGAGACTGGCGAAGTCTGGAAGGCTAAATATAGTGCGGTCTGGGCAGGGCACAGAGTGGGGACTGGGCTATGCCCAATAAATGCCAGGGACCCACCAACACACCCCCATAGACTAGAAGACCGCCAAAACAGTATTTAAACCTCTATATACTATTTATATTGTAATATCTTTTATAGTATTAACGATATTTCAAACCTAGGGAACCTTCTTCTAAACTATACTAATTAATTTAATAAATTTAGCATACTTATTTAGCTTCAACGGCTTCGTTAGACCGTCAACTAGCATCTCATTACCCGGCAAATACTCTATTACAAATACCTTCCTATCCACCTCTTAGATTAATTATTTATATTATATATCGATATATCTATTTCCAGCTAGGAAATTAGGGTTGAGAACCCAGTCTTTAACGTTGCTACTATCCGTATAAAGAACCCTATTAACCTTATGAAGGCCCAAATTCACATTCAAATTATCTAGCATACTACTAACCCAATCGGACGCTTTTACTATAGGAACCAAGTTGGTAAACTCTACCTCAATTATACTAATTATAATAAAATCCTATCGTTTAGTCTTCTAAAAGACGGGGCTATAGGTAAAGAATACAATATAGCCAACTATACTCTTCCTTAAAAGGATATTATCGGTAAAAGAGGCGTCTATATATATATAGAAGGATGGTGCTATTGACGGCGAGAGCATATTATTTAATTTAATACTTAAATTAAAATATTCGGATAGGTATTACTATAAATACTTTATAATAACGAGGTAGCGGTCTATAGGCTTTTTAATACCCTCTAATAGTTTATTAACGGTAAAGGAAATATTTAGCCGGGTATTTATTAAAATCCAATTTAATAAACCAATCTTCTTAGGGTAAAATTTAACTTCTTCTAACGATATATTATTACCCCTATAGATTTTATAGTCTAGTAACTATAGTATTTTAACGTTATAGAATTTAATCTTACTATTATTAAACTTGGCGATAACCGACTTAGTATACTATTATCAGGATATGAAAATTATACGAATCTAATAGTCCCTTACAATATCGTAGCCTAAAAATATACATACTTATTCTAACTCTTTAAATTTAAAATAGCTAACTAGCTAATCTTTAATTTAATTAACGATAGTTATAATTAGTACAGTAACGAAAAAGTTATTAATATAGAGAATTAATAGTACTCCTAGTATTTTATTAGTAAGTAAGTAAGAGTCTATAGAGATAGGGATAAATCTAATCTCTTTAAGTATTAGAATAAAGGTATTAAATTAGTAAAGTAGTGAATATTTAAAATTATAAAGAGCCTTAGTAAGTTGGTAAACTATATTTTCTTTATTATAACCGGGAATGGGCTTTTGAAGCGTTGTCGGTTATTCAATATAATATTGGGTATTATTAGGAATAAAGGCGTTTAAGAAGGTAGTATTAAAATTAAATTAATAATATTCGTAATCGTTTATAATTATAATAATTAAAAATAGTCTAATATTAATAGAGTATCCTACTGCTATATAGATCTCTTGTACTACCTAATTACTTTATTTAAAATTATTATAAACTATTTATTTAACTCTAATTTTCTAATCTTTAGTATCAATATCGTATTTTTCGTTATATACCTATTTTCTAGGCAATACTTCTATATTTAGAAATTTGGGGACCAAAGTATAAATTCCCCTATTTTCGAATATTTTAATTTACTTTTTTATTACTAGTAACTAATATAATTTAAAATTATCTTACTTTCGTACAATTCAATAATTTTTGAAAATAAATTATTAAATTTTACTAGCGGCGATAAGTATTACATTATAATTGACTTTAGCGGTAGTAAGGTAGTATATAGGTAATGCGCGTTTTACTAGGTATTCCTCTACTATATTATAGAAATTATTAAGTAATTTTATAGAATTTTAAATAATATTACTATTACTCTTTTTTATTTATTAAATACTATATTTAAAGTCTAGTAACTTAGCCGTAAATTATCGAAGTCTACCTTCACCTACCTCTAAATATAATATTTAAATATCTATCTTAGAGGGTTAGCTTCCCTATTTTAATTGTACCTAAATAGACGATCAACTTATAGGGTTTAACTAATTTATTATAGGCCCCGAATTCGGGTTCGGAAGGTCCGAATTCGAAGTTTGTTACTCTAAATTCATTTTCGGTTATAGTTATAGTTTATTGATTTGCAATATTAATAATAGGGTATATTATCGCGTGTAAGAAGGGTTCCGAATGTCTATCGGCAGTAATTAAACGGTTGAAGCGGGTTACTGAAGATTGTTAGGTAGCGGGGTACTTAAAATAGTATATACGGTTAGCTCATTACAATTATTATTATATTAATCGCAGGGTATAGGGTCTTCTTTATTAAAATTTGTAAGATTAAGAAGGTTATTATTATACTCGATAGTATTTCTAATCGTAGAATCCGACGGCTAGTACGATAGTAGATTTAGTAATAACGGTACTAGAGAATTTAGTACTGGAATTAGTAATAGGGATATTAGTAGTACTATATTGACCGGTATATTAGGAGGAACTATTATAGTTACTGGAGTAGTCGGGTTGATTAGAGTAGTCGTATTGATTGGAGTAGTCGTATTGATTAGAGTAGTCGCGGCTAGAGTAATCGCGGTTGGAACTATTAAGGGTGCTAGTATAACCTCTAGCGAGAGTGGTAGTGTAATTGTTGTCTCCTACGTCTTTTTGCCTTCTTACTAGGGTTATCTAATTATTTTTTGTAAGTATGGTTGTGGAACCGTACTATCCACTTTAACCCAGATCTGGTAATTGCTATCCGCTATTCTATTAATTTTATCGACTATCTGGTTTGAAAAAATAATATGATATTTAATAATATTGCTGTTACTATTACGGACTAGATCTTTATAGTTGATTAGATCCTCCTTAAGAAAAGTTATTGCGCTAATTCTAACGATTTCGCTAGTATAGGGATTCTAAATAAATATAATACGACTGTAGATATTATTAAAACCGATGAAATAACCCTTCTAAGCTCTGGTACGAAATTTATTGCTTTGTAGTCGCTTTTTTAGTTTAATAAAATAATAAACCGTATAAAAGTAAGACTTTAAATACTTAAAATATAATTATTTAATTTCGTCCGGGAAATTGGCCGCTTTAGTAAGTAATTCCTATAAGCTCTTACCTCTAACATTTACATTAGAAGGTAGAAGGTTGAGTATTCTAACGACGTAATCTACTACAAACGGCTATAAATACTCTAGGATATTGAAATTTATTATTAAAGCTCTAGCTCGTTATATAATAATAGTACTAACTCTCTCGATCTTTCCTTATATTTATAAAGTATAGGGTATTAACTTCAGAAATTCTACGCCCTCGGTACATACCTATTTAATAATTTTACTATATTAAAATTCTTTAATATTAAAACTAAACTCTAGACCGCTATTAAGATTAAATACTTTAATTTCAAGCCTACCACTTCAAAGCTCAGCCTATTTCTTGAACTTTTTAATTTGTACAAAGGCATTACCTTTATTAATTATAAACCTTACCCAATAGAATCCGGTAACCTAATCAATAAAATAAATTATATATTTATATTCTTTATAGCCGGGTAAAGTATAGGAAACAATATCGACGTAGATATAAATTAATAGTTAAATTGTTACTTTACTAGCAATTTTGGGGATTATATCGTAGGCTTTAGCTTTGACGCATACCTCACAAAAGTGATCTTGGGTATTGTTTAATTTAATACCGGCTATTTTATAAATTTTAAGAACCTAGTCTTTGCTTACGTATATAAGGCGGCGGTATATTATTAAGTAGTTAATTAAGGCTATTATAGTATAGCGGACATTTTGGGGGAAGTTTAGCTAGGTAAATATTAGAAGGACTGGAAGGCCGTTAATCTATTTGTATTGTATTATAATTTTACTATATATTGAAATTTAGTTAGTTTTTATATCCTAGATTATACTATTATTAAGAAGACCTATTATTATTAATAGATTTGTTAGGGTAGAAGGATTGTAAATATAGTTTTTAATTCTAACGTTAATGGTTATATCGTTTAAAGTGGCTATAGTTAACTTAACAGTGCTAATATAGTAGGAATAAATCGAGGTTCTATTACCGATTGTATAAATTATTGGATAGGGGAATAATTGTATATCTATAAATTATTTAAAGTAGTTAAAGATATTGCTTGTATAATTAGAGTTATAAATAATTAGATTACGAATGTTGTCCGGTTGTAAATATTGCCTTAGAGCTTGTTAGTTTTTAGTAGGATTATTGTGGGTATATTAGAGTTGAAGTTGATAATCGATTGATTAACTATTATTTTGAGTACTATTAATACGTTTAATAGCGTTGGTTAGGGGCTTTAGTAAAAATCTATATTGCCACCGTCCAAGTTGGTTAAACCTATAAATATTTTACCTCTATACAATAAGGTAGAGTTAGTAGTGGTAGCGGGAGTGGTAAGATTAGTTGAAGCGTTGTTAGCGAGAGTACTAGTGCTAGTATTGGAGGCGGCTGCTTTCTTGGCTAGTATATCCTTCTTGGGTTTTTAAGTATCGGGCGCCTTTTTAGGGTAGTAAATTCAGTAGATATCCGCCTTTTTACTAACGTGATGACTATAAGAAATATGTTTCTGAGTAGTATAGATCTTCTCATTGCAGCTAGTATAGTCGATTCTTTTACTATCATCTTTCTTCTTATTTGTCGAGCTACTATTGCCGTTGTTATTGTTCTTATTGGTATTATTATTATTGTTGTTAGCCGACCTCTAGATATTGACGTTAATGCTAGTATAGGATTTTACGTTGCTAATATTACCGAATTTGGCCAAGAAAAAGCTAATATTTAGTTCGTTAGCTTCTAAAGCGGTTACCTAATATCTGGCGTTAATAGGATAGGCGGTCTTTACGGTATTGTAAAGGAAGGTAATTTCGAAGTTACTGTCGATTGTGAATTTGGTATCCTTGATACGTTTGCGGAATATAGTATAGTAGTTGAGAAAGGAAGCTATAGTATTAAAATTAGTATACTTAATAGCTAGATATTCGGCGAGAACTTCGTTGCGAGCCTCTTTAGTAATACGGGCGATATAAGATTGAATAAGATTATACGTAACCTTTGGGTCTCTACCGGTTCTATCCCAACTATTAATATTTAAAATAATACTAACGTTAGGGTTCTTAAGGGTAGAGATTAGGATCTTGTTGGTGTTGGTACGTTTAATCTACTAAGTATTGTGCTTCTCGGGCTCTATTGCTTTATTGGGCTTTGGGATTATATTGAAGACGTATTCGGCGAATTAGAAATAATCGAATTCGGCTATAAATCCTTGATGCTAATTGGCGATGTTATAGTCGCTAAGAAGGAGGATTAGTAACGAACTTATAATTATCGTAGGTATAGGAGGATTTAATATATTGAAAAAAAGAAAATTAGTAGTTGCTAAATTAGCTGTTAATTTATTTAATTAATTCGATAATGGAATTGTTTAAATCGCTTAATTTAATAAAGAATGAACTAATAACTAGTTCGATAGATAAATCGATAATTAATTTAAGGGAGGGGTTATTGAATAATAAGTATTAGCGAGAATTTTTATATAGTGAGGTTAGCTTGTAGGCGAGCGGGCGAATTGTCAAATCGACGAAGGTCGTAGTTGCTTCTTTTGATCCGGTGCTGCAGCGCCTTGTTGAAGTTGACGATGCGCTTGATGATGCGCTTGTCGCTTATCAAATGCGATCACAGGGAAGGTTAGAGAGGGCTTATAACCTGTGAGATCACCAACGAGATCAAGCGGTTGAATGTAATTAATTGAGTGTGTGCTATCGAGAAGAAGAGAGAAAAAGAGGGAGACTGGCGGAGTCTGGAAGGCTAGATGTGGTGCGGTCTGGGCAGGGCACAGAGTGGGGACTGGGCCCAGTGAATGCCGGGACCCACCAACACACCCCCATAGACTGGAAGAACGCCAAAACAGTGTTTAAACCTCTATACTATTTACATTGTAATATCTTCAATAGTATTATTAATCTTTTTAAACCTAGGGAACTTTCTTCTGGACTATGCCCATCAACTTAATGAATTTAGCGTGCTTATCTAGCTTTAACGGTTTCGTTAGACCGTTAACTGGCATTTCATCACCCGGTAAGTACTTAATTACAAATACCTTCCTGTCCACCTCTTAAATCAACTATTTATACCGTATATTAATATATTTATTTCTCGCTAGGAGATTAGGGTTAAGAACCCAGTCTTTAACATTGCTACTATCCGTATAAAGAACCCTATTAATCTTATAAAGGCCCAAATTCACACTCAAATCATCGAATATACCACCAGCCCAATCGAGCACTTTTACTATAGGAATTAGGTTAGTAAATTCTACCTTAATCGTACTGATTATAATAAGATCCTATTATTTAGTCTTTTAAAGGACGGGGCTATAAGTAAAAAATATAATATAACTAACTATACTCTTCCTTAAAAGTATATTATTAGTAAAAGAGGCGTCCGCACATGCGTGGAAGGATGGGGCTATTGACGGCCAGAGTATACCTTCTAATTCAATACTTAAATTGGGGTATTCAAATAAATACCGCTATAAATACTTCATAATAACGAAATAACGGTCGGTTAGATTTTTAATATTTTTTAATAATTTATTAATAGTAAAGGAAATATTTGGCCGGGTGCTTATTAAAATCCAATTCAATGAATTAGTCTTCTTAGGGTAAGATTTGGCTTATTTTGGCGATATATTATCACCCCTATAGATCTTATAGTCCGGTAGTTATAGTATTTTAATGTTATAGAGCTTACCGTTATTAAATTTGGCGATGACCAACTTAGTATATTATTATTAAAATATAAAGACTATACGAATTTGGCAGTCTTTTACAATATTGTATCCTAAGAATATACGTACTTATTCTAACTCTTTTAATTTGAAATAGTTAGCCAACTACTTTTTAATTTAATTAATAACGGTTATAATTAGCGTAGTAACAAGAAGGTTATTAATGTAGAGAATTAGTAATACTCCTAGTATTTTATTAGTAAGTAAGTAAGAGTCTATAGAGATACGGATAAATCCGGCTTCTTTAAATATTAGAATAAGGGTATTAAATTAATAAAGTAGTGAATATTCAAGATTGTAAAGAGCTTTAGTAAATTAATAAACTACGTCTTCTTTATTATAACCGGGAATAGGCTTTTTAAACGCTATTGGTTATTTAATATAATATTGGGTATTGTTAGGAATGGAGGCGTTTAAGAATGTAATATTAAAATCGAACTAATAATATTCGTAATCGTTTATAACTATAATAGCCAAAGATAGTCTAATATTAATAAAGTATACTACTACTATATAAATTTCTTGTACTACCCAATTGCCTTATTCGAAATTACTATAGACTACCCATTTAGCTCTAGCTTTTTAATCTTTGGTATTAATATCGTATTTCTTATTATATACCTATTTTCCAAGTAATACTTCTATATCTAGAGATCTAGGGACTAAGGTATAGACTCCCCTATCCTTAAGTAGCTTAATTCGTTTCTTTATTGCGGGTAATTAGTATAATTTAAAATTATCCTACTTTAATACAATTTGATAATTCTTGGGAATAAATCGTTGAATTTTGCTAGCGGCGATAAATATTATATTATAATTGATTTTAACGTTAGTAAGGTAGTATATAGGTAATACGCGTCTTACTAAACGTCCCTCTACTATATTGTAGAAGTTGTCGGGCAATTTTACCGAGTTTTAAACAATATTACTATTATTATCTTTTATTTATTAAATACTGTATTTAAAGTCTGGTAATTTGGCCGTAGAGCGATGAGGTTTACCTTTACTTACTTTTGAATTTAATACTTATATATTAATTTTAGAGGGTTGGCTTCCTTGTCCTGGCTGTGCTTGAGTAGACGGTTGACCTATAGGGTCTGACTGGTTTGTTATAGGCTCCGAATTCGGGGCTTGCTACTCCGAATTCGTCTTTAGTTAGTTATAGCTTACTGACTCGTAATACCAGCGATGGGGTGTATTGTTGTGTGCGAGAAGGGTTCGGTATACCTATCAACGGCAATTAAGCGGCTGAAGCGGGTTATTGAAGATTGTTGGGTAGCGGGGTGCCTAGAGTAGTATATACAATTAACTTATTAAAATTACTATTGCGTTAATCGCGGGGTATAGGGTCTTCTTCATTAAGATCTTCAAAATCAAGAAAATCGTCGTTATATTCGATAGTATCCCTGATTGTGGATTCCGACGGCTAATACTGTAGTGGATCTGGCGATGAACGCGCTAGTGAGGTTTCTGGAGCCTGGATTAGCGACGGGGTTGGTATCGGTAACGGTGATATTAGCGGTATTATATTGGCTAGAATATTGGAAGGAACCGTTATGGTTGCTGGAGTAGTCGGGTTGACTGGAGGAGTCGGGTTGACTGGCGCGGTCGTATTAACTAGAGCAATCGCGTTAACTGGAGTAGTCGAGGGTATTAGTATAACCTCTGGCGAGAGTGGTAGTATAATTATCGTCTCCCAAATCTTTTTAGCTTCTTAATAGGGTGACTCAACTACTTTCTATAAGTATAGTTGTAGAACTGTACTATCCACTTTAATTTAAATCTAATAGCCGCTATCCGCTACTTTATTAATTTTATGAATTATTTAATTTAAAAAGATAATGTGATGTTTAACAATATTACTATTACTATTACGGACTAGATTTTTATAATTAACTGGATCTTCCTTAAAAAAGGTTACTATACTAATTCTAACGATTTCGCTAGTATAGGGATTCCAAATGAATATAATACGATTGTAAATATCGTTAAAACTGATAAAATAACCCTTCTAAGTTTTAGTACGAAATTTATCGCCTTATAGTCGTATTTCTAATTTAATAAAGTAGTAAACTATATAGAAGTAAGACCTCAAATACTTAAGATATAACTGTTTAATTTCGTTTAGGAAATTAACTACCTTAGTAAGTAACTCCTATAAGCTTTATCTACTATAAACTTTCGAGGGAAGGAGGTTAAATACTCTAATAATATAATCTACTATAAATAGCTATAAATGTTCTAGGATATTAAAATCTATTATTAAAGCTCTAATATATTGTATAATAATAGTACTAGCTTTCTCGATCTTTCCTTATATCTATAGGGTATAAAGTATTAATTTCAATAATTCTACGCCTTCTATATGTACCTATTCAATAATTTTACTATATTAAAATTCTTTAATATTAAAATTAAATTCTGGACTGCTATTAAGACTAAATACCCTAATTTTGAGCCTACCGCTTTAAAGCTCAATCTATTTCTTGAATTCTTTAATTTGCACAAAGGCATTACCCTTATTAATTATAAACCTTACTTAATAGAATCCGGTATTTTAATTAATAAAGTAGATTATATACTTATATCCCTTTAGCTAAGTAAAGTATAGGAAACAATATTAATATAAGTATAAGTTAATAGTTAAGTCGTTACTTTATTAGCGATTTTAGGGATTGTATTATATACTTTTACCTTAATATAAACTTCGTAGAAGTAATCTTAGGTATTACTTAGTTTAATACCAGCCGCTTCGTAAACTTTAAGAATTTAGTCTTTACCTATACATATAAGGCGGCGGTTTATTATTAAATAGTTAATTAAGGCTATTATAGTATAGCGGACGTTTTAGGGAAAGTTTAACTGGGTAAATACTAGAAAAATTAAAAGGCTATTAATCTATTTGTAATATATTATAATTTTACCGTATATTGAGATCTGGTTAGTCTTTATATCCTAGACTATGCTATTATTAAGGAGACCCCTTATTGTTAATAGATTCGCTAGGGTAGGAGGATTATAAATATAGTCTTTAATTCTAATTTTAATAATTATACTATTTAAAGTAGCTATAGTCAGTTTAATGGTGCTAATATAGTAGGTATAAATCGAAGTTCTATTACCGACTATATGAATTGTTAGATAGGGAAGTGGTTGTATGTTTGTAAACTATTTAAGGTAGTTTAAAATATTACTTATATAATTAGAATTGTAAATAACTAGATTTCGAATGTTGTCTAGTTATTAAAATTACTTTAGAACCTATTAGACTTTAGCGGGATTATTGTAGGTATATTGAAGTTGAAGTTGAGAAGAATCGATTAATTAATTATTTTAAGTACGGTTAATTCGTTTAATAGCGTTGGTTAGGGGCTTTAACAAAAATCTATATTATTACCACCCAAGCCGCTTAAACCTATAATTATTCTACTTCTATATAATAAAGTAGAGTTAGTAGTAGTAGTAGGAGTGGTTGGATTGGTCGAAGTATTATTGGCAAGAGTATTAGTACTAGCATTAGTAGCGGCTATCTTCTTAGTTAATATTTCCTTTTTGGGCCTTTAAGTATTAGACGTCTTCTTAGGGAAGTAGACCTAGTAGATGTTTATCTATTTATTAATATAGTAACTATAGGAAACGTGCTTTTAATTAATATAGATCTTTCCAATATAATTAGTATAGTCGATTCTCTTATCGTCCTTCTTCTTATTAGTCGAACTAGTATTATTATTATTCTTATTAATATTATTATTAATTAACTTTTGGATATTAATATTAATATTAGTACGGGATTCAATATTATTAATATTGCCGAATTTAATTAAGAAGGTACTAATATTCATTTCATTAGCCTTTCAAGCGGCTGCCTAGTATCTAATATTAATAGGGTAAATAAGTTTTATAGTATTATAAAGAAAAGTAACCTTAAAATCTTTATTAATTTTGAATTTAGTATTTTTAATATATTTATAAAGTAAAATATAATAAGTAAGGAAAAAAATTATAGTATTGAAATTAATACGTTTAGAAATTAAATATTCGGTAAGGATTTTACTACGAGCTTCGTTAGTAATATAGGCGATATAAAATTAAATGAAATTATATATAACTTTAGAGTTTCTATTAATTCTATCCTATTTATTAATAATTAAAATTGTAATAACGGTAGGGGTTTTAAGAGTAGAGAGTAGAATTTTATTAGTATTGGTACGTTTAGTTTATTAAATATTGTGCTTCTCGGGATCTATTATTTTATTAGGTTTTAGGATTATTTTAAAAATATATTGAATAAGTTAAAAGTAATTAAATTCAGTTATAAGTCCCTAATATTAATTAGCGATATTTTAATTATTAAAAAGGGGAATTAGCGATGAGTTAGTAGTTGTAGTTGGTATAGGAAGGTTCGATATATTGGCGATTATTAAATTGAGATCGCGTATTTGAAAGAGAAGAGGGGTGGCAGTCGCTAGATGAATTATTAATTAATTTAATAATAGAATCGCTTAATTCGATGATAGATTTGATAAAACCGATAACTGGTTCGATGGAGGGGTCGCTAAACAACAAGTGTTGGCGAGAATCTTCATGTGGCGAGGCTGGCTTGCGGGCGAGCTGGCGAGTCGTTAAATAGATAAAGGTTGCGATGGTTTATTAACCCGGTACTGTAGCGCCTTAATGAAGCTGGCGATGCGCTTATTAATGCGCTCGTTAAATACAATTATAAGGAAGGTTTGAGAGGGCTTATAATTTGTGAGATCACCAACGAGATTAAGCGGTTGGATACGATTGATTGAGTGCTATGGAGAAGAGGAGAGAGAGGGAGACTGGCGGAGTCTGGAAGGCTAGATGTGGTGCGGTCTGGGCAGGGCACAGAGTGGGGACTGGGCCCAGTGAATGCCGGGACCCACCAACACTATTTAATATTAATATATTAGGGGATAATAGTATTGGGTTATATAATATTTAAAGAAATGGTATATGTAAAATAAATTTATTTTAACGGTAGCGAAGGCGGTAATCCCTATGAGTAATTTTATAGGTTTGTTGGGCTTCCGCTATAAGGGGCGAATCCTATAAATTAATACTTTACCGGAGAAATAAATACCCTAATATTTATAATATTAGTATTAGTATTTATAGTATTATTATACGTACCTAATTATTTATAATAGTATTTTAAATTAGTTATTAAGGTAAGGTAGTAGATATAGTGGCTAAGGACTATATATAATTTATTATAGGCGCTATAGGAATATTCTAAAAGAAAGTAGAAGGAATTAGAATAGTAAAGGGAATTAGAACGAAATATTAGGGAGCCGGGGGAGCTAGGGTAAAGGCTATGGGAATTTTCTAAATAGAAATTAAAGGAGTTGGAATTAGAATAATAGGTATACCGGGTACGGAAGCGGCTAGGTCTAATATACTAGTATAATTATAAATAAAATTCATAGCTTGTAGTAAATTCGCTTTATACTTTCCTTAAGTATTATAATATTAAAAATATTATTAGACTACCCTACTTAGGTCCCTCTTCCTAATAAATTCAGGTAAAGGGAAGTTCCTTTTATAGTTTTTATATTATTTTAATTTAATATCTTCTTCTTCTTTTTAAGGGCCTTATTTAAAAGGGGGTAATTATGTAAATAAAGGAGGCTTAAGCCTAAATAAATTAAGAGAAACTATATTCTACGAATATAGTATAATATATATATTTATAATACCGGTTAGTATAGGAATATAGTTATAATAAGTATTATAATACGAATAACGAGTTTAATTAAAAATATTATATAAATAAATATTAGTATTGGTTATTATAAGAAAGTATAATAGTTATTAGGAATTAAGCGTTTTGGGGGTAATTATAGGTATATAAAGGAAGTTGGGTGTATATAGTCGATTGTCGATTGCGGATTATTATTCGAATACTACCTAGTATTTATATTAAAAGTATATAAATTATTAGACTATATATTAATTGAATGCGGTTATTTATATATAAAGGAAGTCGGGTATAAATAGTCGATTAGTATATAAAATTATTAATAAAATATCCGAATTGGAATATTATATTTATAAATTGTAAAGATTATTTAATTAATAAAAGTAGAGGAAAAAAAAGATGGTCGATTGGGTAGCGTAGAAATTGATTGTATGGAAGTGAATGCGTGTGTGTGTGTAAATTGGGAAAGAATTTGTAGGTTTTAAATTGCTAAGGGACTATTACTTTTGGGATCTCTAATTATAAGGGTTAGGGTTAGAAGAGATAAACTTGGGGGAGACCCCTAGGGACCCCCCTTGAGTATATTATATTAAGAAAGATAAACCCGGAGGATACCTCCGGGGACTTCTATTAAATATATTAAAAGGAGAAATAGAAATAAACTTAGGGGAGACCCTTAGAGACCCCCTACGAAAGTATTATATTAAGAGAGAGATGAATCCGGGGGATACCCTTAGGGACCTTTGTTAGATTTATTAGTACGAATTTTAAATGTGTATATACCGATGTAAATACTAAATACTAAATACCTATATACCGCTATTAAATAGCCTATTCTAGAATTAATTAATATTTACGATATATAGTTAATTTACGAAATTAAATATAGAATTTTATTTTATATTATTTAGAACAACGGATTTTGATTAATTAATAACAAGCACGGGCCGGATAGACTCTAACCAATTATAAGAACAAACCGGGGCAGTAGGAAATCTAATTAATCCAAAGAGCGGATAGTTTAAGCGATGGACTAATTAAATAGACGGATAAGACCTGGAGCCGACCACTTACGGTACGAAGAATTTATAGGGGTCTCGTACTATTAGAAAGAAGCTCCGCTATGCTCGCTTACTTCGTGTTAACACACTTCTTTCTCTAGACTATAACAGCTGTGCTTTAAATATTCTATATAGTTATATTGAAATATTATTTTGATAATAGAATTATACGCTTTATAGCCTGGATTATTATACTTTTAACTGCGTTGAATTAAAACCCTAAAG